GACGACAACCAACCTATTGATTGCCTCCCTATCGGTGTCCGATCTGTTGGTCACAGTGTTTAACATTCCGTTTAACGTCACCCGACTATTGATGGACGAGTGGCCGTTCGGTCAGACCCTATGCTTTCTGGTGCCGTTCGTTCAGATAACCGCTGTCTATGTGTCCAGTCTTACAATGGCTGCCATTGCTATACACCGGTGGCGGTCAGTAATGTCGGTGCGTCCGATGCGCACGTGCTCTAAGATGTGCGTTGTCACGACCATCATGGTCATTTGGTCACTGGCGGCCATTATGTCATACCCGTTGTCAATGTTCAATACGGTAACAAACGTTACACTGTATAAGCCTATGATCCGGTGCCGCAATGAATATCCCGATTCCGACTATAATATACCGCTATTGTTGACCATTGAGTGCTTTTTAACTCAATATCTGATTCCTCTATCGCTGGCCTGTATTATTGTAAGTTATATACAATTAATTATTTAATACAAATTATATTAGTTTTATTTATTTTGTTAACTTAATAATAAATTGTTGCATTATTGATGCAATATTTACCTTTTACGTTTAACTCGCTAATATTTATTTAAAAATTATGTTAAGCAAATATTATAAGTCAAGTAAATATGTGTATTTGTAATAGATTGAGTAGTGGTTACTAAATTTATAAATTCACTATTCATTATGCATGAATTATTTAAATATTTCAAAACATTTATTATGTTTAAATGTAAAAGCATCTAATTTATGACAAATTCAAATGAATAGAAATGAAATCTATTTTTAAAACATGCTGTTGATTGTAGTGTGATCAGATTATAGATTAATACTTTTACTTTAATTTATTTAATTTGTTATATAAATTTTTCAATATCAAAACCAGGACAACCATTTGTTGCTAAGTACTAAGCCGATTTTATTTTATAAATATTTAAACATATCTAATTTAATATTTAACTGAAAACGTAATTTCATTATTTAGATTAATTTTTTATATGACCAACATGATAATAACATTAGTATATAAGCACAATTTGTAATATACTGTACATTCAGAATGTAACATTCTACAGTATGTTACTCTAATGATTTTTCATAATAAATTGTTTGGTATTAAGGATATAAATAGTAAGAATTAATGCCTTTATGGATAATGAAGTAAATCATGTAGATTAATTATATATTGGCATTGTTAATAAATGATAAATTCAATACACATCTAATGCTTTTACTGTTATATACAATATAAATAAACTCAAAAGATTCAAAATAAGGATATACTATGTTTTGTGTTTTTAGCATATGGTAAACGAATAGAAGATTTTCTCTACATATAACATTACTACAGTATAATTGAATTTTCTTTTTCAATTATATGTCTATAAGAAGTGTACAGCAGTTATGATTGCATGACAAAACACAATCAGTAACTGTTTAACAAGTATTATAATTGAAAGCAATGGCCAAATGAGTAAAAACCGTAGGCTTATTAGTGGCTTATACACAATTAACTTAAATGTCTTGTATGTATTGTTAAATTGCTGGATAATTACAAAGTTGTATTTTATATACATCTATATAAGAGATTGGAAAGAATATATACAATTTTGTTATCACAACAGGAATTCAATTAATTTTGCTGATTAAACAATATAGACGTTGAAATCATAGTTTTTTTTTGTGTAATAGTTGTTTGACATTATTATGGTTTTTTGAGGCAATCTATTTAAAGGTGCATAATTAACATCATAATAATAGAAAAAGCATCATGTGTTTAAAATTAGATTTATTTTGTCAACACAATAGAAATTTATATGATTTAGAATTTGGTTAGGAACTTAATCAATTAAGATGGGTAATCTATTGTAACAAGTATTTATATATTTTTTTGTAAATATTTATTTATTACACACACTATGTTTTTCTAATTTTAATTCAATCTTATGTAATTTTGCAAATACACAATTCTTATATGTTAAATGTTGTAAATAATGTCTGGTTTATAAGGTTTGTTCGAGGTATATTTTACAATGAGTCATTGTCAATGACCAATAGTTATTATAAATTTGCCCGAAGGAATGTTAATATTTGATTCATATAAATATACAACCAGTTTCCTAACTCGTTTACAATAAATATTTGAGCAAGATTTAAAAATACGCCAGTAACTTTATTTTAGAAACTAATTTATTGTAGCAATATTGAAATTCAGTTATTTGCTTCCCTGACTAAGCGTATAGAAAATGTTATCAAACATTGATATAACATAATTGATATTTTTAACATTTATATTTCCTATATATTTATAAAACAAATTATTTATGTTTTATCCAACTATTCTAAAATATGTTCTAGATATTTTACGTTTAAAAAGTTTCTCAATTGATTTAATATTTATTTATTTAATTCTGTTAAATTTAAATTAGAAACAAACGGCATATAATTATTAATAAACAGTAACATCTAATGTACATATACATTATTTATTAAGTTACTTGCAAATAATATTAATAAATATCTAATTGATACTTATTCTAAACAGTACAGCAAGATTGCCATTATAATAACTCGACAGGGACAAATGCTCAATTCTGCACCAGGTAAGACATGAATATAAGTTACACATTCATACTGAATTACAATTATATTTGCCTGTTACATTAATGAAGGTAAAACTTACAAAGTACAGTATCAATTTTCAGTTAATCATCAAGTTAAAAATAGAATAATGATAATATTTATGTATTAGAAGTATTGTGTTTACTAAAAAAATATTAATCTAAAAGCACATAATAACTGTGTTGTTATGATACTAAACAATAAAATATAAATCTTATTATTCTGCTTGAAGGCAAACTAAAAAACAATAAATTTGGGTTAAAACAAAGTAGCGACATTTTAAAAACCTTATCCCTAAACACAAATAAATAATTTTGTTTAATATTTTAAATAATACTACTGTAAATATAATACATATCTGTATAGTAACGTATTATAATCTGTATAGTAATGTATAAAATGATTAATGATAAATAATATTATTCTATTCCAGAATATTCTAAACAATTATATATAAAAAACTGGCGAAAGAATTAATAGTGATTGTTTGTAATACATAATGATTAGAACAAATATATTACTTCTTAAACGTGGTATTAAACAACTTTTTTCAAATACATCAGAGGATTATAAAGAGCTTAAGACAAATGATCGCTTGTTTTGTTTCAGACAACAACGACTGGTTGTCTGGTATAAAATTTTAGTGAACAACTAATGCCTTAATACTACCAAAATTTAAAAATTAAATTACTTACATTATATAACAATGCTAGTATAATAATTGGCAATTATTAATTGTTTTCATCAATTCCAATTCATTAGGATCATTGTTATGTAAAAATTAACTGGATATTTAAGACAAAGAATAGTTTTTAGTTCACTGTTTTATCATGGTACATTTGTCTTATCATTAACATGTTGTAAATAATAGGTCAGTAATGTTTTGTCTGATGTATTGTTGTCAGACACTAAATAATTAGTCTAGAAGTTTAGTATTAAAAACATGATTAATTCTTTAATTCTCAATAGAATTACCAATATATTTTTAGTACAAAAGTAAAAAGAAAATTGTAATCTTTGACGTAATAAGTTTATAATAACTAGTAGCATTTTAAATCTAGAGACTATTTTATAATATTAAATTTAATAAATATAATTTCGCACAGAAATATAATTGCAAAACAAATAAACCTTTTATTCAAAGAATATATTTTAAAATTATTTCTGTCTTAAGCTTTAGCAAAATATATTTCTGAGAGTTTAATAATGATATTTATTTGAGCGAAAATATAATATATTTATGTTTTAAAATTTAAATCAATATTTATTACTCGTAAGTGTTTGTAAGTAGATATTATTGGTAAATGCAGCAAAATGAGCTGGTTCAAGTAAACTATAATATTTATTATATTTATACAATGTATATCATTTGGTGTGACACATTCCGATTTATTTAGTTACAGTATATAAATTTTTTGGCAGACATTTAAACTAAAATATGTTAGATATGTGTTTTATAGTAATGTGGTTATAGATTAAAACAGATTTAATACTTGCAATACTTCATAATTCACTTAATTTATATTTTTACGATGAAAAGGTATTTTAAACTAATAATTCTCTCTCTCTCTCTCTCTCTCTCTTTCTCTCTCTCTCTCTCTCTCTCTCTCTCTCNGCTGATAACTGTCCAACAGTACTGCCAAACATATTTACGTTTGATTCATAATAGGTTTCTCTCTCTCTCTCTCTCTCTCTCTCTCTCTCTCTCTCCTCAGACAGAGTAGAGTCGACCCAACGTTCAGAGCGGAAACGCCGACGCATTTTGATGTTGGTATTAGTTGTCGTCATATTTGCTATTTGTTGGCTCGTAAGTTATCATTGCTCTCTCTCTCTCTCTCTCTCTCTCTAACATCACATACTAGACAGTGTACAGTATTGTAGAGGAATATTGACAAAGTATCACACAATACATACCTTTTAAGATAAAAATTCCACACAGAATATACTGTACACAACATGTACTAAATTCTTGAATAGCCAATTGTCATCAATACATGTATACACACTAGAAACAGATTAGGTCAGACCAGACACAACATAACAATAAAACAAAGTGGTAAATGTTGACCAAACTATTATTAAAATATCAAGCCATTTATAAATAGACACAAATATATACTGTATATTAATGATTAGATAAAAGTACTGTGTCTATCGCCCTAGGTTTATTTATCTTATTAAATTAATTGTATGCTATTTGCAAACAAATGTACTAAAAATAAAATTAATTTGTTAATAATGTGTTTTCCTATTGACAGCCAATCAATTTCTATCACATTCTCGTCGACTCCAATACAATGTCCCACAACTATAACCTGTTTGTCGCGGTATGTCTTCATATATACATTTGTATCATTATTCTCTATATTATGTCTAAGGATTGTTTGAATTCCTTGAAAGTAATATATATTTTAATAAATTCTTGTTTAACGGATCATATTTGTAAAAATATTTTTCATAAATTTATTAAATATTTCACACGTTTTTGCATTAAAATATAAATTGTGACAATTTTGTTAAGAATTTTTGCAGTCGTTTAATATCTAATACACACTATATTTATATCTAACGCATACATAAAACTATAAATGCTAAGAATTGGGATTTTATGGTGAATGTAAATTATAAAACTGTAGTTTGTTACTTATTAAGTTGCGATGCAATAATAATTATTTGAATTTATAGTTTTAATACATATTTTCTTAAAGATGTAATAAATTATTTTACATTAAGTATAACATCTCTCTCTCTCTCTCTCTCTCTCTCTCTCTCTCTCTCTCTCTCTCTCTGGGGTTTTAAAATAACATTGATTCAAATTTTTATTACTATTATGATAATACTAATAATACAAAAATACAGAATATATATTTAAAAAAAAGTATATTTATATTGAAATAATAATATTTTTTATATCAAATTTCATAAAATAATGGCATAAAGTAATGGTATAAAATATCCATTCAATTTTGTGATAAAACAAAAATAATAAAATAAAGTAACTTTTTCAAAATATAAGAATTAAATTAAAAAATGATTTCAAGTTAAAAATTGAAATTTTTAATACAAAATCTATATTGAAAAAAAATTAAACTTTATAATTAAAAAATATACACAGAATTATATCGATTTATATTATTAAATTCTTAATCCGCAATATATTCAAAGTACTAGATGTACGTCAATATAAAAATCACTAAATAATCATTTTAATACACACTAATTAAATTTTTACCGTAAATAATTTTTAGTGCCATTGGTTTGCCATGTCTTCTGTTTGGTAAGTAATTTTGTTTTGCTTTTCAATTAAATGTGTACTAAAAATAGTTAACATTTTCAAAAAATAATTTACTGAATATTAATAATCTGTAAAAATTAATCTCAATTACAGTTACAATCCGTTTATCTATTGTTGGCTTAACAGCACATTTAGGATTGAAGTGAAGAAATTGTATTCATATCTCAATAATTGTTTGCGATTTAACTTCAAAACGACAGCAAATGTCTATCAACTCGAGACCATAGGAGCCGACGGGAGGACAGGTGTCGGCGGCGGAGGTATAAGCGGTTCGTCGCCAAAGAATCTGAGACTGGCTTTGGATGTGAAGTGTGTTGAGACAAATGGCGACAATATTGTGACCACCAGTTCGTCGGTACCCAACAGTCAGCACACAATCAGTCATAACAACAACAATGGCATTAATAATAATGTGTTTTTTGAATCTGTGGTCACTCGCAGTCATACAAGTGAATGACTTTACATAACAAAAGCGCAGACTTATTATTGTGTCATAAAATCAATAATTATATGATAAACACGTTTAGTCATAAACCAATTACCTGAACAGTCTTTGTAGGTGTTATTTGGGTTGCATTGGGTTACTAAACTCTCTATGTGATGAACTATTTACATTTATTGTATAACATTTTAATGTTACATGTATAATATTTCTTTCTATATACAATTATAATTTTTGCTTTTTATCTACCAAGCACATTATACTTGGTATGTTTGTTGTCAAAATTGCTCGTGTTAGACCATTGTTGTGGTACATTAACACTAATTTTATTCCAGAAATTCTATTAATTTTCTATACAATAAACGTATGTCTGGTCTAGACGTGGATGTGATTGAATCTTAAAAATATTTTTCAAACTGATACAGTAGACATTCGGTTTTGACACTTTTACGGTGCTGTTAAAAATGTGTGTTAAAATCGAATTCTGTCAAAATCGGGTGTTTTAACAGTACTAATATCGCTCGCCGGTGCTAACAAAATGTTATGTTAAAACCGAATTCTGTTAAAATCGCGCCTGTCAACACCGAATGTCTACTGTATATGCTTTATACAAATAATGTTTAATACTTTATAGCGTACAATACATTATAAGATTAAACAGGTGTTATATCAAAGACACAAAAACATTACATTTACAAAGATTTGAACATATTTTACAACATAAAGTAGTGTATACAGGACTCTATATTAATGTAAACGCTATAACCTATAAGTATTAACATAAAATGCTTTGTATTATTTAAAAATGTGATGATTTTAAATATTTTACAAAAATCTCAGTTTTTTGAGTTATATAATATTTATCTTAAGATGTTTAATATATAATATAACATGTTTTATATTTTTATAATCTAAACAAATTTTATAACTATTTAAGAATATGCGAGAATTTAAATTCAGAGTAAATACTTAACAACACATTTGCTTTATTACATAATGTGTTAATTAATGTTTTTACATTTTGATGCTAAATTATATTTACGATTAATATTTGCTAAATTATATTGTTAGTAAAGTTTCTCAAATAAAACAAAAACTAAATTTTTCTTGTTTAACTTGTAAATTTTGCCACGTGTAAGAGTTTAAATATACTAAATATAATATAAATTACATTTAAATATTTACTACCATGTAATCTTTGTAAATAATAACTTATTAAAAAGTTTTATCTACTTCTATAAAATACTGTCTTAATTTTTAATCAATATAATAAAAATTATTGTACTTGTATTAATATATGCTGTAACATAAATAAAATAACTTTTACTTGGCTAACAATGAAATATTTTCCATTATTATAATTTACTTAATAAGCTAGGGTCTGGTCAATTTAATTGCCCAGCTCATATATGGTTCAGGTTTATATATGCTATTCATTATTTTAAATTCTGTACATTTCGATGCATGTAATATTAACCTTATTGATCAAATTATTGAGCACAAACATTGGCGAGAATTTAATATTGTAGTTTATTATTATTGTTTCTAGCCTGGTCATATTATTATTTATATTTTTGATTAATTTGATTTTGCAACGATTTAATTGACAACAATAATAAAAATGTGTATATTTTTCTCAACTTCAACCAAATTACAATATCTTAAGTTAAGATTCTTAACTTATTATTATTAATAAATATTAATATCTAGATAAGATAACAAATTAATAAAAATTTGCTACATCGACAACTCCATTAAAATTAATGTAAAACACAAATACATTTAAATAATTTATGATGATTTAAATATATTTATTTGAATTCTGTTGCAAAACAATATTTAATAGTTGTTTTATTCATTAAAATATTAATAATAAAAGTATAATAAATATTAATATGAAACCTAAAGATATTTCAATTTCAGTTGCACTTAAAAAGTGAAACTTAAGAATAAACATGAATTACGGTATCATTGCTAAGATATTAGCCCTAATCGGATGTATCACTCAATTAACTAACATTTGTTACAATTACTTTCAATACGAAACCATAACTGATGTGAAATATGAAAACGAG